ACACACACACACACACACACACACACACACACACACACACACACACACACACACACATTCAATGATTGACGGTCCAGAAAACCCACGATTTAAACACCTGTTTGTGTGCGGTTGTGATACAAGATCTCTCCTATGGGATGTTTACAAGTGACTGTGGAGGACCACAGTCCCGACCCGTAAAGCCCGAAGCCGACATAGGGAGACCAGCGCCAAAGACCCCAAGARGGACCCCAAGTGCAGAGCCCCCAGTTACGTCCTTCATCCACCTCATGCTTGTGCACATTAAAATTACTTAAAAATACTTGTAAAAAGAAAACTTTTAAAACTGGAAAAAAATACAGAGCTGAGAGCTGATATATGGATTAATTAATTAACTAAACTAAAACATGCAGGACAGAAGCTAAAACAAACAAAAAAGTAGCTAAAAGCTAAAATCAACTAAATAAATTCAAACTCAAATAATGAAAACTACAAATCTATAAAATTACCATTAAAAGTGTGGCTCAAATTTAAAATTAACAAAACTAGCTGAAAACTAGCAGAGCAGTACAGGCTAAAATGAGCAAATCAGTTGCTGAAAGCTAAAAACTAGAATTAGCCAAATTGTAAACAGTGATATTAGCAAAACTGTAACAAGAATCTAAAATTAGCATGACAGTAGCTGAAAGTTAAAAAGAGTGTAAAACAACAAAATAAAGAGGAATTATGTTGGGAGTTGATTTCAGAGACCAATGTTTTTTCAACAAACTAAAGTTTACTTTTTCCCTATGGGGATTTTTATTTTTCTAATAAATTTAAACAATTCAAAAAGTATAAAATTGTATTCTTATTTATTTTCTTTTAAAAACTGAATACARTGTAATAAAATCAGTAATGTAAAAACCACTAATAAAAGACGAAACAAATAAACATACAGCTTGTAGCTATGTTTTAATGTGTCTTGTAAGCCATGGGCTGGGCACCATGCTGCATGAAACATCTGTATTTATAGAAAAAAATACTTATTAGAAACATTATAAGATATTTAAAAGCACAGACTACACTGAAAAAAATAACTTGTAAGATGGGCTTGAAAAATTCCTCTAACATATTTGCACTATCGTTTGTTAATTAAATTTAAATGCTACAAATTCATGTAATATTTACTCATCATTGTCTAGAAAAAGTTATTAAGAATATAGTTAAAGATTTGTGAATAAATCAGGTAAATCTTACTTAATTTGCTCAAGAATTTGTTACAAGATTTAATTGAGCATGTAGGAATTACTCATGAAATTAGGGCCAGCCTATTTTCATAAATGTAATCC